TTCTTCTTATTGTCAGATATGACTTCCTTCTTTTTATGTTCTAGTGCAATTGAGACACATGTGAGGTCTTCCTGGAGGTATCTGGAGAAACTTAGATCAACTTCTGTTGCTACGCTTATTTTATAGAAATTTGCCAAACTGCCCAGAATACTTTCAAGTGGCATATTCAGAATAAAAACGTAAGCTTAGAATTAAAATAAAAGGTTTGAAGTCTTTGTTGTAAGGGCAGCGTTTGCCATGTCTCTTAACCTTGGTCAAGGTCTTGATTAAATCTCTCTTAGAATATTCATGTTGAGGCTAGTAAGCTAGCATGCACTGCGTAAAAGTAGCATTGCAGTGCTTGTTTGCTGTGAAATTTATGAATGGAATTATGAATTGGCTCTTTCAAAAGTCTAGTTTGTAAAAGGTTTAACTAGCGAACTGGTGCTCAGTGGTTTTGAGTGAGGAATTTAAAAGCTCGAGAGCATCCTGAAGAGACACAGCTTGTCCATCTCTATTGACAAGTGTGCTGTGCTGTCACAAGACATTTTTCAAAGAAGCTCAAAGGAAAACCTGTCTTGCATGATCACTAGGTACCAAAATAAGAATTAGATCCTGGCTGTACTAAGAACTCGTCAGTTGTGTAGCATAATTGTTATAAAAGCCGCCGAGCCGGTGCGACTTTAGCGATGGTAACTTACCTGATACAGTTGGTGCAGAGACTTGATGGAAAATGTTTGGGCTCTAGCAGTAGCTCTGGAAGATGCCAAAGCATGCCTTCTTTGCTCATGCACCGGCTAAAGTGAAAACTGCCTCGTCTAACAGGCTTTCTGAAACTGTTTGTGCAGTAGTCTTAAGCTGATCTGACTGCCGACTTCCTGGTGCTACTCTTGCTCTTTTGCCTCACAACCAGCAATTTTTTTGGCTTAGATTGATGTGGAACTGCAGCTTTTGGAAGAAGCTTTTGATTTTTAAATAAAAACAATGTCAGTTGAATGGTCTTCCTCGATTCCTTTGTATCTTCAGCTACAAAACTGTTGAAATGAAGGCTGTGTTTGTTTACAGCTGTGTGTGTGTTGTTTGGTTTTTTCAACTTGTGAATCAATTTGCTTTTTGCTAAAGGCTTTTTTGAAGTCATCTGGAAAAATGCAATTTTTGGAACAGTCCATTGCTTTTGGAGTGTGATAATATTCTGCTGGTCAGGCAAAAATGAGGAGACCAATTGAGTTTGTCCCAACCTTCATTTTCAGCCAGACCAGATTGCTCCTTTGGGTCTATCTATTCCCCTTGTGCAGAGACTGCTTGAGGATGAAGTCGTGACGTTTGTGAGAGCAAGTGTTCGGGGTTATCGTGCCTGTTTTCCCCTTCCTTGTGTTTGGGACCAGTGCCGAGGCACTCCATCTCCCAGCACTATGATTAAAGTATTGGTGCCCTCTGGTGTTAATAATTACCAACCTGGGTGACCTTCTGGCTTTAGCGTAAGTTGTCGGACTTCTTTTTCTAGTGTTGCTCACTTCTGGGTGATCATTTTCTTGGGGAAAAAAAATGGAATAATTGGGGAAAGCCAAGCAGCTTCTTGGTTGAGAAGACAACTGCCATCCTCGACTCTAACATCACAGACTCTGCGCTGTCAGCATGAATAACTTTCCAGATTAATTTTGGCTGTGTGGCGCAAGGTGTTCACATACTCCTTGGTGTCACTTTGTAGTGCCTCAGCAAGTGCTTACCTTCATGTTCAGGTTGTAGATTAATCTGCAGTTCAGTACTTTAAATAATGCATATTTAAGGAGGTTCTGAATCGAAGAGATGCAAAGCAAACAACAGTTTCCCATGTCGTGTCATATAGACCAAACGCAACTGTGCAACAACAGTAACAAAGCTATTAATGGTGCTAACTTCAAGTACCTTGGATATACCAGATGGATTACAATGATCATTTCAAGTTCTTTTTGAAAGAATGGTGAATACTCCTTGAAGTGCCAGAAAAATTTTTGTAAACCAAACATTTTATGAATTCTATTTTTACTAATTTTATTATTAGTGCTAGGTATACTTTGTCATAGATAAAGGTCATGAAAGTCCTAAATGAATGTGTAGTTCTAGTTTCTGTACATCAGCTAATGTGACTCAAGTACCTTTTCACAATTTCCTGGGTACATTTTTACATTTAAGTACAAAATTGAATATGTTAACAGATAGTTAAATTGTCTAATGGAGACGTTACTCATTCTCTGTACTGTAGAACAGAGGTTGTAGGAGTGAATTCTATTTTGTGGCTGTAAGACCTAGGCTAGAGTTGCAGACAACTTTTTGTACTTTAGTTAATTATTTGGTTTAGTCCTTTGGTTAATCAGTTTTGGATTTTGGCTCTTTAAACTCCCTTGGTTCAGGTACTCACAGGGGAAGTTACTTGTTCCTTATTGTATGCAAATTTGCAGGTGTTTAAAAATCACTTATTGTTGAGCAAAGTTATACAATGTCTTGTGCGGGTGTTAGAATCCAAGTGGATTTTAGAAAACAGTTATATCACCTTACATTAAAACCAAGAAAGTCAAGAGAAGGTCAAGTATCTTTTTGTAACCCCTGGAAGATTAGTAAAGTTAATAGCAGTTGGAGCTGTTACCTGGAGTTGTAGCCTGTGTGCAGGAGCGGGTGTTGCCGCACACCAGGATTTACCTGAGCAGTGTGCAGTGAGTGAAAATTTCTGTTAAGTTTGGGAGTTACCCAGATGATCGTTGTTTTGTTATACATGTGGTAAACTGTGAGTTGCTTTTGATTTTATTTTTGTGGTCGAAGTGAGATTCTTGAGCCTAACAATTAAGAATGTGTCCAAGTAATACTCAAATATAATGGGAAGATCAATCAAGATCAAAGGCACCTTAATTTACAACTCAAGTGATCTGGAAGGTTCTATTAATAAGTAAGTTAGAAAAAGATTAAAAATAAAGTAGTCTTGCTGTGAGTTTAGCATTAAAAGTTGATGCGATAATCTCAAGTCATTTGATGCTTTGAATGTTGACATTGTTACTGGGGTAGCCTGATCTGAGCTTAGATAAGGAAATAGTTATTTTTATATCAATAAATGTAATGAACTATTGTGAAAATCTGTCTCCTGTTTTGATGTCCAAGATTTCAACTACTCTGAAAGTTAACATGACTGCGACACACCTTTTGAGCTAAAGGAGAGTATGATACGCTCTAATTTTGTGTGCTTTATTGTTATGATCTGTCAGTAGTTATGCTAGTGGGATACTTAGAGTAAACTAAAATTGGGAGGAGTAAACAGAAATTGGTGTTTTTTGATATTGAAGGACTGGAAAGACTGTGTTTGAAAGGGAGGAGCTCTCACTGGAGTCTTGTAAGGGAAGAACTAAGTAAATAAGTGGGAAACAGTTCTTTTGGTACAGGAGTTGATGAAGGTCCATGCGTTGTGTTGATATTAAAAACTGGGAGAGAGATGATACTCTGCTGTATGTATGTTTATACATATAAATACTAATTAGAGATCCCTCCTCTGCTCATGTTTTGTAGAGGTTTTTGCAAAACCTTTGCCTTTGGGCTGCTTCTAAAATGAGGGAGTTAGTGTCTTAGAGCTAGAAAAGGGCTCGTTTCTTTTGTGATGCTCTGTCTTATAGATGTCTGAAAGAATAATGCTAGAGGAATGACTGCAAAAACTGTGATATCTTAAATTTCCCTCTAGGGAAGTAAATACTTTTGGTTTATATTCTTAAATCAGACTGGAAACGCAATTTCTTTGTTAGTGTGAGAGACTGTTGGAATTGTGTGTCAGCGAGAATCTACAGGTACATAACTGCCTTGCCTCTGCCTCCAGCTACTTGCAGTTTCTCTTCTACCTGTTAAATGTGTTGCTTATCTTGAGTAGCTACTGGCAGCGGTGTAGTTTATGCACCACAAGGAGATCTGGCAAGAAAAGCTGTGTGGTGTCTTGCTTTTAGGATTCGGTGTTTTGCCCAGAGGAGTTTGAGTGACAAATGCAAGATAAGTGTAGAGATGGAGTAGATTATCCTGTTTCAGGTTCTGGGAGAGATTGACAGTACCTGAATGAGAAGGAGGAAAAAAAAAAAAAAATCTAGTATAAATGACTACTGAAATGGATACAGAATTTTAGAACTTGTTGCTTCCATAGCTGTCTTGGGGTTGCAGTCATGGTTAGGCTTTACTTCATTCACACTTCTTGCTCAATAATGCCCATTTAAAAGAAATCTTAATTTTCATTTCAAGATTGGAGTGTAACTTCCTTTTTTAACTCCATACTAAGTCCAGGTAATGAAAGTATAAGAGGTGTAGCTGTAAGGAAGAGCTTTTGGATGAGGCGATTAGGAAGCTAAAAGGTTGGTGTCAGTATCTGGAGTAGTAAGAGAAAAAGATTTTAGCTCAGCTGTCTGTGCGAGGCAGGTTGGGATGGGATGGATGTTCATAGCAGCCCATATGGCGCTGTGTTCTAGATTTGTAACTAAAATAGTGTTGATAAAACACAAATGTTTTTAACTTTGCTGAGCTGTGCTTACCCAGTGTGAAGGCTTACAGTTCCTGAGTGTTCCCTCCTCTTAGGAGCAGGATGGTGTGGGCTGGAGGTGGTGAGGGGACACAGCCAGGACAACTGATCCAAACTGACCAAAAAGATGTTCCATATGGTGTCGTGCTCAGCAGTAAAACCGGGGCTGGTGGCACGGGGAGGATGAGAAAGTTTTTTTTCGAAGTAGCAGTTGCTCAGAGGCTGAGCAGGTATTGGTCTACTGGTGGTGAGTGATAGCTTTTTTTTTTTTTTTCATCATTTGTTTCATTGTTGGTGTTCCCCACGCCCCTTTGCTTTTTTCTTCCTTTAATAAACTGTCTGTAGCTCACCCGTGAGCCTTTCCTTGTGCTGCACTTCGCATTCGCTCCCTGATGCCGCTGTGCAGGAAGGAGCAAGTGGCTGGGAGGGGACTGCCCTGCCAGCCAGGGACAAGCCGCCACACTGTCCTGGATACCCTGAATGCTGATGTTTGTTGTACTTGTAGAGTGTAAACAAGTTAGTCTGTCAGTCTGGATTACTCAGGGCTAAGGAGGAGTTGGCAGAAGACACACGGAGCTCGGGCACAGGACACTCCCCTCGATTCTCTAAGTCTCAGAAACCATCAGAACTGAGAATGCCCCCCGGCTGGCTGCTGACTCAGTTTGAAGCCCAACAGTCCGTGTTTGCTTTGGAAAGATTTGTGAGGGATCTTACTGCCTTTTTGTGAAGTAACGGGGATGTTAGAGCTATAGAGGTTTTGGGTTCCTTAGTTAAATCGTCGAAGACAAGGTGAAATGGGATGCAAGCCTGCTTTTTCAACATGAAATGCAGTAGAATCCACGCTTGTTTAGCTGCAGTTTGGTTAGAATGCTTACTGAAATGTCAATGTTTTTAATGTTAGAGTATGTGAAATATGGGCTTCTTTATTCAGAAACAGTAGGTAATATTGTCTTTTTTTCTTTGATTTGTGTGTGTATGTGTTTTTTTTTAATAGAATATTCAAATAAAAACTTTGGCAGATGATGTGGTAAGGTCTTTGTAACATCTTAATTTGCAATGGTAACTTCACGCTGCATGCTATTTTACTAAATATTGTGGACACTATAACATGTTCTTATAAGGATATTAACATTAGATTTCAGAAAATTGATTTACAATTCCTAAGGATCTTAATTTGTGATTTCAGCTGAAGCATAAAAATTAATATTGATTTGGAGAGGCTTCTTTAACCACATTCTAAAGACTTCAGTAATACGATGGATATGTTGAAACTGTACTCAACAGTTCAAGTGTTATTTCTCTTGACCTTTTTTGTAACAGTGAAGGATCTGCAGTGGTTCTTCAAAGTTGGTTGCCACATGATTCAAGTGGAACCATTTTGGGTAATAAGAGTGTATTGCATTTCAAACCACAAATTTGTATTCAGTAGCACTAACTTCATATTTCTGAATACTATGCAAAGTATTTTTACAGAAACTTACATAAAAATTGATTTCAGTAAGATTATAGATTTATATTTTCTATGATAATAGTTAAGCCATGCTGGCCGCTTTGTTAATCATCACTTCTAGGTCTGAAACGAAGAAATTGTACCGAGTTATCATGGAGGAGATTCATTTATGGCTTTAGAGTGACCTCACCAGCACAGTCCGATTAAACAATTTTTTTGTTAATAAGGTGTACTTTAAACAGATCACAGTATGGTGAAATAGATCTTAAATTGCCTTTTTTTTGAGGGGGGATTACTGAATGGGCATTTTAGTATAAGTGAACAGTGAAACTGTATTTGATGTGTAATGGCTAATTTTGGATACTGCCTTTCGGGCATTATGTCCTATCTTTGGCCTTTTCAGTAGGCTATGCCCTAATTTTAGTTTCAAAAAATGTGATGTACGCTATTTTAATAAGGAGAAGATGGGATTAAAGTAATATTCTTGCCTTGTTTAAGAGTTTAACAGTATCCTTGTAGGTAATGTGTTTCTGTCCACAAATGTAAGACTTTTAAGGAAGAAGAAACTCCAACCTCCCTCCCCGCAAAAGCACAAACAAACAACAAAAAAACCTTCAAAGGAATTCAGAGGGCATGCAGCTTATCTAGGGATACCTTCCCTTCAAAACTTCAAGGTAGTCTTATAGGATCTCAAAAAACAAAACCAAAAGAAACCTGACAACAAAACTGAGAAAAAGATACAAAAGAACATAAGAAAAGAACAAATCCATGTTCCACAGCACTTCGCCAAGTTTTTCCACTCCTGACCGGACTATTCTAAAATGAATCCAGGTTTCCTGAAAATGAAATACTCCATTAAACTTTTCACACCTCACAGAGGTTGTTTAATTATAGAAAACACAAATTTTGGTTTGCCTGTCCTCATAGATACTGCAGTAAATGGTGTGAAAGGTTCTGGTAACCCTACATAAGCTGCTGTTAGATGGAAGCACATCTTCATAAGGCTGTTCAATGCCTGAAACAAATACACCAGTATTTGTTGATGCAAACAGTTAATTTGGAAAAAATACTCCCAAGGAACGTCTGTATGTATATAGACAGTATTGTTAAATAAGAAATTCTGACTATTCAGAAGAGTTATATGTTAGTAATACAGTCACAAATGGCCTTATAAGGAAGGTGCTCTTGTTGGTTGTGTCCAGTATTAACCAATTAACGAGTAAGCATGCTTCTTAAAATAGAAAAGGTGGGGGGGTTGGTAGCAGGCATAAACCAAGTCAGCCTTAACTGGAGAAATGTCCGTGCAGCCCGTGTGATTCGCTTTCACTAATGTCTGCTCTGTGTATTTAACTATGGATGGCCGCTTCTCTGTGAGTAATCCGTTACCTGGCTTTTTAAGATGATGCACTAATTTCAGGAGTCCATACTCAAAAAACTTCAAGGAATTGTGAACTATACTTGGAGCATTAATTCCTCTACAAACTTTATTTTACTTTAGCAGGATTTTTTTATAAGCCTGGTGAACTTGTGAGTACCTCCTTCCCAACGGTGGCTTTTTCAGTTGTCCTCCAAAGACTTATAGCTCTTCAGATGAAGGAACGCTTGGACATTACCTTTGTGGTACCATATTTATTCACTATCAGGATAATTAGGGAGTAATGTCAGAAGATGAACTCAAGTTTTTGAAATGCTAAGAGTTTAACTTAGATGGTATACTTTTGAAACTGTGAGAAATAGTTATATCCCTTTTGCATGTGGTCTGTCATCAATCTACCTTAAATGTTGTCTTTCTATGAAAAGTAATCTCTGAAGGTTAGAGTATTTTTACTTACAGTTCAGTTTGAGTTTTAACTCTGCTGCTTGGATTAACTAAAAATGTGTCTATTACTGCCTTCTAGTTGGGTGGTTTCCTATATTCCTATTTCTGCTTATTTTGAAATGGATGTCTTTGCAGCGTGACAGAATAACGAGCTTCAGAAAATCAGCAGTGAAAAAAGAGAAACCTCTCATTCAGCATCCTATTGACTCTCAACCTTCTATAAGTGAAATCCCGCTTGCCCAGGCACTTGTTGATGAGCGTTGCATGAATTTATCAGAGAAAGAAGTTATGGATCTCTTTGAAAAAATGATGGTAAGATGATATGTTACATCCTTTTATGAGGTTTTAATTTGTTTTCATATTGGCATTTATTATGTAGTAATGGTTTTTCAAATGTTGTCATTTTGGAAGTAATAACTGCTTGGGAGCATGCATAGCACAGGCCTGATGGACCTGCCTTAATTTGCACATAATTAGCTGAGTAACTCATAGAATGCTCATATGTATGTTTAAATTACTGGGTCTACTTCTACAGAGAAAATAAAGGCAGAAAAAAAAGTCAGAAGCAAAAATCTTAAGCTGTTGATTGCTTCATTAAGATAACCAGTAATGACCTTAGTAACAGTAGTTAGGTACTGCTCTTGAAGGATAGTTTTTAATAAACTTAAGTAAATACTTTTGAAAAAAGGTATTTTTCCAGTACTAAAATCTTAATGTATAGAAAGCCGAAGGTTCATGTGATCTTGAATATTTTCTGTCTTACGATCACTTGTCAGTTAGTTGTTCTACTCAGAAGCAAGCTTTTCTGTTAGTAGCACAGAAATAGAATTTTGAAGGGGGGTATGAATTTTGCGGTGCACTTTGGTGTTACTTGAAATAGCAGGAAATGCAGTCTTTGGAGTATTGTTAGAAAGGTTATTTTCTGTATACTTTAAAATTGTTGTAAACTTCCGTACAGTCAGTGTGGCCTAAAAACTGGCCAGCTCTACCTAATATTCAATGAAGTTGTGATCACCTTCGAAAGATTGGATAAGTGTTAATGAATTAATACTTGCTTGATTTGCTTGATAGATCAAGGGATAAATTTTTACCATTTCTAAGTAATGTTAATTGAAGCAGGCAACAGGTTGGTCTTCCAGAGACTAATAATTCTTTGAAGAAAATGTTAACTAGGAAGTTGCAACATTTACTACTGGATTTTATTGGTAATCTGAAGTTACTTTGACTTTTAATGGCAAGACTAGTCATGACTAGTAATGACTACCTGTTGTATTTATTCAGTTATTAAATTGAAACAGATAGCTTAGATTTAATCTAGCAGAATATTTAGTTATTTAAGTTTGTTTTAAATGTATCAGTTGGAGCACATTCACACCTACTCCTGCCAAAAGTTAATCATCTGTGTAATAGCAGCCTTCTGAATAGATAGTGCAGGAATGATGTTTGTTATGGTAAGTTTTTGTAAAACACACAGGAACTTCACAAGAGTTAACACTTCCATTATCAACTTGAGGTGTAGAACTTTTGAGTTTGTCATCTAGTTTTATTTCTTGAGCCAGATTTTACTAATGGTAACTATCCGTGATGCAATTATAGTTTTGATTGAGTCTAGTAAACAGTGAACACTTGAAGTGACAGAATTAAATGAGAAAATCAGGTGGCTCAGAATTAAACAATCTGAAGTGCAGATAAGCTGGAAAAAGTAATTTGTTAAAAAAATGAGCCATTTGTTTAAGAAAAGAAGTATAAAAATAACAAAGACTATTAAAAAACGTCAAGTAGAATCTTGATGTTGTGTGGTCTGTTTCTTTTCAGGAGGACATGAATCTAAATGAAGAGCGTAAAGCCCCTTTAAGAGATAAAGATTTGACCACAAAACGTGAGATGGTTGTCCAGTACATTTCTGCAACTGCCAAATCCGTAAGTAGTCATCTCTCCAAGGCAGACGGAAGTAGGAAGCTTGGCTTCCTGAGCGCTGGGCTTTTCAAGCTTGAAACTTCCTTTTTTTTTTTTTTTTTTTGTGTGTGTCTGGATTTATCTTCCAGGAGCGATAGAAAAGAAACAGAAATCTATACTTAGTAAAATGCTTTTAACTGCTTACAGCTGCACCTGAAGGGTTAGTTTGTATTTTAGTTATTGGGGAATGTAAAAACTTGATGGTTGTTTTTCTGTAAATGGTAAGAAATTACAAATCCAATGATGTAATGGATGAAACCTGAGCATATATCTTTGGAATTCATCTTACAAATTTTTGCTACCAAAAATTTTTAGAAGGGACAGCATGACTTTATGATTTCAGTAATGACATATGCACTAGATGTAGAATTTAAAGTGTTAGAAATGGGGAATCAAAATACTGAAAAGTATTTAAAATTGAAGTCAAGTCAGCATTTTAGCTTAATTTGAGTACATTGTGTATCTGGCTTGAAGACTGTGTTACATATTCTGCTAAAAATAGTCTGAAGGTTAATAAATAAAACAATTACTTTAGTGAGATGGTCTTAAAAGAAATTTCAGATTTGTATTTTGAGTAAAAAAAAATATAATATACATATTGATTAACTGTTAGTTGATGAATGCTTCATGCAGAATTTTTGAGGTGTGTCTGTTCCAGGGTGTCAGAAGTGTAGGAGAATGACTGGTGGCTCCAACATTTGTTGAGGTGGAGAAATACAACTTCGAATAGTCAAGACCTGCAATTTATTTCTTGCAGAGGCACTAGTAGTAGTGGGACTATTAGTAGCAATTAGTTGTACAATTTGAGAATAATACTATTTGAGTGTTAAAACTTGACTATGGCAAATACAGTTCTTACCACACAAAAGGAGAATATGAATGTTGGATGAAACATGTATATGTGCTGTGATTTCCCTAGAAATAAACTTCATCTTGATTTATGCCACTATTTGTTGCATAACGAATTTTAAAGAAGGTAGTGGTGAATGTAGAATGTATTGCAGCAATGGGGAGAAGCGTGGGGGGGGTAGCTTTGTTTATCCAAGGGGCACTAGTGTGCTTCAAGTGATAAAATTTTCAATCAGCGTAGTTCTTCAATAAAATTAGCTAATGTGTGGGGTTTTATTTAGAGATTAGGATGAATCTCATACGTTTTTCACAGTTAAGTTACTGTGTGCCATAAAAGGTTACTGGAGATGAAGACCGTGTGGAATAATTGTTCAAATACATAATGGCAGCAGAGCTAGCAGTTTTACACAGCTGAGTCCAAGTGCTGAATATAGGTAGTGTTAAATAATTCTCAATTTCTTAGTGAAATAAATTGACAAATAAGATTATGTTCATGTCTTTCTAATGAATCTATAAGCACGGACTGTGAGCAGTACAGTTGACTTGTCTTTCTCTTAACCTTTAAAATCAGCTCTGCAGAGTTAAATTTCAAAAAGTAAAAATCACAGAGACATGCAATTATTAAATGCAAATGCTTTGCATTAAGCATTCCAAACTTAAGTGAGGAAAAACTTGCATCATAATATGAGAATGGTAATTTACATTTCTGAGAGGAGTGATGTTTCGGCATGAGTTCATATTAAACAAAACCCTCAGTCCTTTAGTCTGTCTTGGAAGGAATCCAGTACTTGGAGCACGGTCTTGCTAAACGTGCAAGTTATTGGAGAATTATTCAAACTTATGCAGTGAAAATTATGAAATTTCCTATTAATATACTTTGCCTATACTCTCTTTGGGAACTGTTGATTAAACGTTGTAAGGTTTTTGTCTTCACTTGATGATCAATGTTAAATTTGTCTTAGTTAGCAAAAACATTTTATTAAAGCAATAGAAACTGTCACAATGGAAGTACTTGCAATTCTTTCCCAAAAGGTAGTTGGATGATGGTGATCTCTTCTGTATATTGGTATTAAAATGTGGCTGCATCAAATATCATAATCTTGTAGCTGAGGAAGAAAAGCATGGCTACCACTGCATGTCTAACGGCTGAACGTTGTAACAGGTTGCATTATTACCACTGTATGTGCTGCAGCATGGGAAATTTAACAGAACTTGGGATAGATTTGCCAAAATGTACTAACAATTAAAAATCCAAAAATGTCCTCCTATGTGAAGGTGCGCTTTGAACTTAAGTCAGCGCCAGTATGGATGTTTCATGCATAGACAAAACGTTGTTCTTAATGGAAAAGGCTTGTATTGTATTTTGTGTGCTTCAGTAAGTCCTCCTTACAATTGAATCGCAGCATTTGAATGGAATAATTTGAGGTCGTTCAGAAACATAAATGACCTTTCTGTAGAGTGTTACCCCAATTTAGCTTTTAAATAAGCTAGCATCTTAACTGATTTAAAAAAAAAACAACCCAAAAGTAGAGCTCAATTGCAAAATGTTGATTGGGATCTTACAATAAAGCCAATAGTCTTTTTAACTGTTAGTTTTGTCATCTGTTTAAACTACTGTTGTGCTTCATTGAGTTCAAGCCCCAACCAATTTTTACTGCATCGTGAATTGTCAGGCTTTCTTTTCTTCAGGCCCTCTTCAGGCTTATTTTCCATGAAAATGCTGATCGCATTCAAAATTCTTTCTTAAAATTTTCTACCTTTTTCTTTGGTCACAGATAATTGTTCATCTGTCTTTCTTTTTCATCCGGAAAATATTTGAGCCTTCTGCTCAGAGCTCACAACGCACACTTAACAGTTGATGTGACTTTCCTTCTCGTTCACATCTGTCTTGGGCTTTTAAGCTCTCTCCACTCGTTTGAAAGCATCACTCTCTTTTCTGATGTTGTCTTTACCAAATTGTTTTTAAATTTGGTTCTTCGCTTTCTCTGCCTTGTGTGCCATCTGCAGCATGTTGACCATGCTTTTCTGAAGCACTGTACTGTCTTCAGAGGTCTGAGAGAGAAATCTAGGTTTTCAGTGGATGAAAAACAAGCTTTCCTTTTCCTTGAGGGAAGAAGGAAGGACAGAAGCAAATAGGCTTGATGCTTTCATGTGAAGTGATTATCTGTGCTTCTCATTCCTTCCTTCACTGGAAGATTGTTGATTGTGGAAACTATACTTAGGAAATGGTGAAGGCTTAGAATCCTATTTTAGAATTGAATTTGGTGACATCTCATGCCATACTGGATGAATTGAACATTGGGGAGGTAGTAAATTATCAAGAGATTGGTGACGACAGTCCGTCTTGTGCTTCCACACAAAGCTTCATCAGGATTAAGAGATGATTGTGGAAGACTTGCGGAGACTTCTGTCTTCTGAAAGACTTCCTGAAAGGATAATGAAAGAGATAAGAGTAGAAACTGAAGTGGGTTGAGGCTGGAGACAAGCAAATTCCGATGGCAGAACAGGATCATGCTGTCTCGGGCTGTGAATCAGATCCGAGCGGTGGTTCAGTGAACTGGCTGCTGTCGGACTGCGGCACAGAGCTGGCAAGGGAAGGTCTGCGATAGTTAACGAGTCCGTAGTCCTGATGCTCGCAGGAACACGGGCTTTTGAGCAGAGTGATGGAGCAGGACAGAGATGTGCTGCCTTTCTGCAGAGTTTCTTCTATGTGAAGTCAACTTTTTGTTAATGAACCTGCAGAGATGCTGTTCCATTTTAAAAGAGATGTCATTCTGAAAATCACTGTTTAATTATCCACATAATTAAAAGCATCCATACTGAGCAGTTGAAGAAAAATGCCACATGAGATTTTCTGAAATGCAAGTTAGATTTGTAACCGTAGGCTGGTTTGGATTGTGAAAACTTAATTAAATTCAGAGATGACATCATCTTAGATAGATCAAAAGCTCCATAATAAATGAAATTGTTACAATGACGAGGAAGTTAGCGTGCCGTTAGTTTTTCTGTAGTTTTCTCAGTGTCACATCTCAAATATCTGATCTCATAATTTTAACAAAATGGCATATCTCTTAATCTTTCAAGATGCAGATGTCAAACTAGGTGTTTAGTTATTTGTTTGAAATACGTAAAATACTGAAGATTCATCAGTGGAACATAAGAATTCCAAACTATTTCTTTTACAATAGAACTAGTTTTCCTATTGACAAGCTGTAACTCTGGAAGAGTTTGATAAAGTAATAAAAGAATGTAACTACTACTAATGATTAAACACTGAAAAAATTGTGTGATGCTACCTCCTACTAAGTCCTTTGTTTATTTATGTATTATTATTATTATCTTTTTTACACAATAACCTCTCTTGGCTGACCACTGCATGCAGATAGTCGGAAGTAAAGTTCCGGTGAGTATGAACATGATGGTTTTGCTTTTTCTTATGAATACACTTCCGTTGTAACAGATCAGGCTGGAATATTTTGGACTTTTATCTTGGATTTGAAAGTTCACTGGGCATAACTGAATCCTTGTGTTATCAAAATAATTATCAACTACCTCAGTCATGTTTCTTACCAGTGTAAAAACAGAGATTGCACTTTTGAGGGATCTGTTTTTAAGTTTTCAGGAATCTATTTCCAAATATTTCTGACTTGCTGAGAGCTCATCTGTTCCTTATGAGCAACAAGTATAGTTTAGGCTTGTCTTGCTTGTTATGAAAGGCAGCCACTTGAAACTAAATTTAGAGTATTTGACTTACTTGATTCTGTTTAAATGTGGATTTTCTTCATGTCCTAATTGTTGTTATTCATAGTTTCTCATGGAAATGTCAGCTGCTGGATATCAGTGTGAGAATAAGATTAATAAAGAAGATTCAGAAGGTCAATTAATAAGCATAAGATAAGGTCACAGAGCAAGATTTTTATTCAGTACTCAGCTACATTTTGTGTTGTCATGATTGAAATGAGTGATTTTTAAATTTTTTTTAACAAGTATTTGGGACTTAATTTGTTGGACTGAGTTCAGCAAAATTTTGTTTTCCGGAAAAGAGGATTTTTTTTTTGGGGAATAATGACATAAACTTTTTAAATGATGGCTGAAAGCAAAGAACTTTTTAATTA